CCCCCCGGGATGGAGTACTGCGGTGCGCGCTTGCTGGGACGGCCCTCGGGGGCCTTCGCGAGAGAGGTGCCGGCAACGTTCTCCTCTGCTCACCAAAGCCCCCGGAGGGAATATGGGGCAATGCTCAGCCCCTCGCACCGCAGCAGCCCGGTGTAATGCAGGCCCTCGTGTATCGGCGGGACTTTTCTGGTGTCTTCGAGACTGAAAAGCGGCGGGGGAACATTTTAATAGTTCTCCTGCACGTGCGGCCGCAGACAGGAAGTCGCTGTTTTGCAAACAGCCACAACGGGGCTTCAAAGGGAATACATCAAAGTGCTGCGTCAGAACTCATCAACAAATGGAACACTTTCGAACAAAGTTTGAGTCCACTGGTACTTTTAAGACCGGAAAAAGTTTAACTCTGGGTGTAAGTTTCCCTGTGCATGCACACTTCTTCAAATAGCTTCTGTGTGCATGCACACTTCTCCCGATATGTGAAGAAGTGTGCGTGCACATGGAAGCTTACACCCAGAGTTAAACTTTGTTGGTCTTACAGGTGCCACTGGACTCCAGCTTTGTTCTGTTGCTTCACAACAGCACTGCAACCCACCTGAATCTTTCTTCTGAAGAAGTGTGCATGCACGCAAAAGCTTATACCCAGAATTAAACTTGGTTGGTCTTAAACAGGCCACTGGATTCAAACTTTGTCCTGTGGCTTCAAAGCAACATGGTTACCCACATGAAATTAAACACACTCTTTAATCTTTGCCTGAACAGAGACTTGGATTTCCTTACTATAATTTCTAGTAGCTTAACAGGACTCTCTTCTTAGAAACTTTGGCTTCACCTGCTTTACCAAACTACAACCTTGTACTATTAGTTCATTTTCAGTTAAACTATTTGCTTATCTGTTCAAACCTTTGATCTCCATTAGCACCTGTTATTTGTAACTGTTTCAGACATACAGAGCTCACATTTCAAAAAGTAATGACTGGATTCACACCTAAGCCTTTTCCCCCATACAGAGTTACACTTAAAGGAATCATGGCAGAACTCACTCTAGGGCTGCCAAGTGGTGGCGGGTAAACCCCCACTTTGGAGGCCCGATTTCCACCGCCGCGGAATCGGGCCCCAGGGGGGGACTCCACCCCCCGAAGCACAGCGACGCAACCACGTCACTCACACAATCGGGGCCACGCCCCCAACGTGAGCACGTTACTTCCTGTTACATGCTGGTGGTGTGTGTGCACTTTGCGTGCGCACGCATTGCCGAAGAGCTCCCGGAGCCCGGCGAGGCTCCCCTGCCGCCAAGGTAAGTAGACTTGGCAACCCTAACTCACTCTCTGCCTTAACTCCTTTGCCCCCTTGTAACCGTCCCCTTAAGTAGGATTTGTCGTTGGATTTTTAGATATCTGAACAAGTTAGCTGTGACCTACAAAAGCTCATACTGAAATAATTGTCATATGTCATTCTGCTGAGTGATTTCTCAGACAAAGAGCTGCCTGCTAGCCCTGAGCTGATAATTGAACAGCCGGTTGCAGCTGGCTCTGAGCCAGAAGAACAACAACAGATCAAGTTACCGGCTGATCAGGAGTCACAGCCTACAGCTGAAACTAAGCCAAGGCTTTGTAGCTCTGAAGCAGTAAAAAAGTCTTCAGAAGCCACTCCCAGCCCACCTAGCTCACCCACACTCCTGCAGCGCAGATACTGTCAGACACTTAGAGTTGCAAGAAAGGAGAAAAAATGCGAGACTCATGGCCCATCTTCAGCTGTCAGTTGAAGAGATGAATGAGTAGTTTCAGGATGATTGCCAAAGAATTAGCTGGGAGCTTGGCTCGTTAAGACTTGGCTATAAATTCAGCTGGGAGAAGCAGCAGTTTGTGAATGTAGTAAGCGGTGGCACAGGCGGTAAGAGATACCTACACATAACTCTGGTCGAACAGCTTTGGCTGTTCGAGCCCCACCGCGGCCGGGGTGAGTGCCCAGCCCTCTGTCCCAGCTCCCGCCCACCCAGCGGCTCGAAAGCCCGTTAAAGGGCGATTAGACTAATGGGTACCTGCTACTAGAGCGGGGGGAGGCACCCGTCCCTGTGTTGCAGCGGTGAGTGGCGAAGCGAAGCAGTGGCGATGGCGACGGAGAAAAATGGTGGCTGGCAAGGCAAGGAGCGAGCGAAGGAGGCCGGACCAACTGGCGCGGAGGCGGAGCAACGCAGCAAG